CTTCAATATATGATTGAAATAAAGTACACAGTATGTTTTAGTAAAACAGGACCACCACACTACCAAAAGAGATTTGAATGCTATTGCCTATGAATTAAAAAGAGTTATTTATTAATGTGTTCGTCTTTACTCACAACATTCTACTTCAACAATAATATTAAACAACAATAACGACAATAAATTAGTAATATTTACATTAATAATACTAATTAGTCATTATGACGATAATAAAGGTGAACTAATTAGTCATTATGACGATAATAAATGTGATAACAACAACAACATTAATAGTAATATTTATTTTAACAAATAGTAATAATACTAGTATGGTAATAATAACGATATTTAAATATCAATTTTAATAAATAATTAGTGATAATATCGATATTGAAGGTGATAATAGCAATAATACAACAATAATAAATTAAAGATAATGTTTATTTTTATAATAATAGTAATACTAATTAGTAGTAATAATAATAATGATACTTATGATACTAGGCCTACTTAGTAATAATAGGGTAATAATATCGATAATAAAGGTGACAACAACAACAACAATAATATTAATAATAATAATAATAATAATATGAGAAAAATACTAATAAAATGCCAATAACAACAACTTTTTAAATTAATATTATTAAAATTATAATACTAAGACTAGTAAATAATAATAATAATAATAGAATAATAATAATAAAAAATCGAAAATTATTAATTATTTATATGGTACTGTAATAATAATATCAGCAAAAATTTGAACAATATATAATGTTAATGCTAAGACTAATAATTAATATTAAAACTATGACAACAATAATAACAGCAATAATAATAACAATTAGTACAATGTAGTACCAGTAAATGACTTGTGGCCGAGTTGACTTGTGGCCGAGTTGACTGTAGCCAAACTTTTTGTGGCCGAGTAGATGACTTGTGGCCGAGTTGACTTGTGGCCGAGTTGACTGTAGCCAAACTTTTTGTGGCCGAGTTGACTTGTGGCCGAGTTGACTTGTGGCCGAGTTGACTTGTGGCCGAGTTGGATCGAATTCATTACATACAGTCCGAGCTGAGGCTCTGAGGCCTACCACCAGTCAGACAGTAGTGCCCTACCTACTAGCTTAGGCCTATACAGTATATAATAGGCATATGTAAAAAATTTAAATCCAATTCGGCTTTGTTCAAACGAAGAGTAATCTTTTCATATTTTCTTAATAAAGAAACTGGTAGGCTCTAATCTTCCTCAACTGAAATCCTTGATAAATAGAACCAAATAGAGCCGAATTGGATTTTAATTTTTAACATAAATGCAAGGCATTCGGAGTTTGGCGCTAATGCACTTTCGCACCTAACTTTTAATTCTTTATTTTTTTACCTCAACGTTCTTCTCACAGTCACAACATATAATTAACAAACATTTTCATCTGATTTAACACTCACAAAGTACCTTTTTCAACAAATAAGCCCACAAATAAGTACAGCGAATCTGTGTTCTTCGCTAGCACGACGAGCGGGGTGGGGGGAGAATAAGTTTGCAGCGTGAAATTAAGAATTAAAAGTTAGGTGCGAAAGTGCATTAGCGCCTGGCTCCTAAATATAGGCATATATACTATTTCAATCAATCGTTAATATTTAATATATTTATTTAATAAATATTTATTTATATTTTTAGAAACCTCCGGAAAACTTACAAAGTTTAGAAACCACCGCCACCACCAAAGATATCGATCATCGTATAACGCAGCGCCGCCACCACATGCGATGCCACCGCATTGAATTTTTTTCGGACTGTAAAAATGCGTCAGTTTACGTCAAATCATGACAATTTGCGTACACTATTGGTAATTCGCGTCAACTACTGGATAATTTGCGTCAACTTATGATAATTCGCGTTACCTCTTCAGTAAAATGTTACTGTTCTCCCAGACACGCCAAATGAATGGAACGCCAAAGAGGCCACCGAATATACAGCAGCCACCAATGAGAAGAACGTAGTCATACAACAGATGGATACGTCAGTAACAAAAAGGAGAAAATATACAAGCCTAGGTCTACAGTGAATAATTAAGAATTTATTTGCCTGTATAAAAACATAACGTGATTAAAATTTATTTGTTTAAAGATCCAGTAGAATGTGTGTTAATAATATAATATAGGACCTATGCCAAATAAGTGATTACGTATTCTTAGTTTTATTGTACAGTATACATCCTCCGATGTGTTTTATGTACAATGTGAAAATGTTTGACGTTGATACGTTAGATTTATTTTTCTTGCGTGATAATGAATAAAAATGTAGTGTATGTCATTCATGCATTTGTTGATTTTGTTTGATGGTTGAGACAGTAAATAATTAAGAATTTATATAGGCCTACCAGTATAAAAACATAACATATTAAAACAAGAATATTAAAACAATATTTGTTTTTATGTACAACTATGATGACATTTCGTTTGTTGATATGTTTGAATTTTTTTATTTATTTTCAATGTTGTGAATAAAATAAGAAAATATTTTACACATCTTGCGCCTTGTGTTTTATGTATTACTTTGATGACATGAATAATATAGTGCCCCGCCAATAATGATTTCGAATTTCATACTAAACCAAAGTTGTTTAAAAAAAAATTTATATTACGCCAACCGCTGCCTTGAAATCTCCAAAAATAATTGCATATTTCTTCCGTAGGCCTATATGAATTTAAAGGATTTAACCATCTCCGATATGTTTTATGTACAACGTGATTTTTAAATTATATACATTTAAAGCATTTAACCATCTCATTACTACACTGTTTACCAATAAAACAAGATATAAAAGATACATGGTGTTATATTTTTTATTGTACAATGTGTGAAAAATTTTACTACAATCAGGTGCATAAGGAACAACAATTATTAAAATAAAAACTGTTACTTTTAACTATGCTAACACTGTGGAACTAACGGGTGCAGGTCAACTCGGCCACAAGTCAACTCGGCCACAAGTTATTTATAATTAAAATGAAATGTAAATACGGTATTACAGTTTCTGCATCCTTTTTCTTCATGATTAAAATGAAGTACACAGTATATTTTAGTAAAATTCTGATCATCGTCACATCGTCGTGAGATCGTTGTATATATTTCTTCACACTGTACTCTTATTCAACAGAGAAAACCCGCTACTTACATAATGGAATAAAATCTGACAATTGTAACATTAACAATTTAAGCAATCATAATAATTAAGAAACACATATGTTAATGTTTAATTTTGTTCACGTTAAAACACTGACATAAAACATGAGTACATACTGTAGACCTAATCATAAAAAATTGAAATAGAAAAACCACATTATGATTTTTTTAAATGTTAAAAATTTATTTTGAATCCGACTAAAATCAAATAAATGCACGATGGCGTGCATTTCGATACTATATTCTTCAGAACCACGCCCAAGAATTAGGCCTACGTTAAACTTAGGTGGGGTGCAGCATCTAGTATCAATTATCCACAATAGGAACAATTGGTATTGTTGCGTGACAGACTTCAGTCCTTCATATTTGTTCGACCATTGGGGGATATGTTTGAAACCCGTCAGTGACAAGGATGCATCCAATGACGCGATTCACCAGTGACATGTCGGTCTTTTTCAAATATTTACTTTAATAATACTAATTAGTCATAATAATGATAATAAAGGTGATAACAACAACAATATTAATAGTAATATTTATTTTAACAATGCTAATAGAAATAATATGGTAATAATAACGATATTTAAATATCTATTTTAATAATACTATTAGTGATAATAACATTGAAGTTGATAATAGCAATAATAACAGCAATAATAAATTAAAGATAACGTTTATTTTTTATAATAATAGTAATACTAATTAGTAATAATAATAATAATTATGATACTTATAATACTAGGCCTACTTAGTAATAATAGGGTAATAATATCGATAATAAAGGTGACAACAAAAACAACAACAATAATAATAATAATAATAATAATATGAGAAAAATACCAATAAAATACCAATAACGATATTTTTAAAATTACTATTAATAATTAAAATAATAATACTAAGACTAATATATAATAATAATATGAATTTAAAAAATCGAGAATTTTGTATTATTTATATGGTAACAATAAAAATATCAGCAAAAATTTAAACAATACATAATGTTAATGCTAAGACTAATAATTAATATTAAAACTAATAAAAACAACAATAATAATAACAATGACACCAATAATAACAGCGATATTATTGTGGCCGAGTTGACTTGTGGCCGAGTTAACTTGTGGCCGAGTTGACTTGTGGCCGAGTTGACTGCAGCCGAACTTTTTATGGCCGAGTTGATTTGTGGCCGAGTTGACTTGTGGCCGAGTTGACTGTGGCCGAGTTGACTTGTGGCCGAGTTGGATCGAATTCGAACTAACTACCAAAATGCATCATAACCTATTTACATATGAACACATGAATGAAGATAGCCTAAAAGAAACAAAACAGATGAAAAAACACCATTGTTGTCGTATTCTTGTCGTTTGTCTAAGAGTACTATCATTCAAATGAGTGTGCCTAGTGCATTAAATTGAAGACGACACCCATAAATTATTGTCTAATAAGATTGGAATATATTAATGAATTGATTGAAATATTATTATACATACACAATTCCTTATAATATTTGATAATTTATTCCTATATGATGTTTATGTAAATTTACTTATTTTTGTATTTATTATGTAAGTTTCAGTATATAGTTAAATATTTACAATGATTGTTACAACTTTAGTATCAATAAAAGACGACTATACCAGTTTAAATTTTGCTATTTTTGCGAGCCTTGTGAGGTGTTTCAAATTACAATACTGTACCGCCATAATTAATATTTACGAAAACGTATATAATTATAAAATTACAAAACATATAATTAACCATTAATCAAACTTAGAATTTATTTTCCCTCATCGTCTAAAGAACAAATTAAAGTCATTATCATGATAAATCAGTTTCTGCGCTAATATATTAAATTGTTACAACAATTTATAACAACGAACATAGGGCCTACGTGTATACGCCAGACATATAAATATCTGCAAAATGCGTTTCATCCAAAATCACTATGAAGTGATGCGTGACGGTTGGTAACTATGCCATAGATAACTGCCGCGCCGTAGGTAAAATTGGTAAAAATGCACCAGATTGGATCATAGAGACAGAGCCTTTAGTGGGGTCTACTCAGGCGAAACTCTTAATGCTCATACATTCCGAGATTTTTTTTAAACAGAAAATGTACGGCATTAACGCTCAGAAATATTTAAAAAAATATTTTGTTTAAAAAATTCAAGAATATTGAGAAACAAACTATGGTCAAGTCATATATATTTTATCGTTTAGGGCCTATTAGGCATTTCATGAATCTATGATATATTATTATATTGACAACATAATTAGAACATAGGCCTATATAGGTGGAATTTTGTCCAACCCGTCGTGAAAATGTAGTGAATACTCAGTGCGTGTGAAAACAATTGCAAATATAGTACTCGCTGCTTACTTGGGCTCGAATTCAACCATGGCCATCAGGTGCAAGCTCGGTGGTCTAGAGGCATGATACCAGGCTAGTGATCTGGAGAACGTGGGTTCGAGTCCCACTGGAGAACAACTTGCAAATGATTTTGGCGAATGTTTTCACACGCACTGAGTATTCAGTACATTTTCAAGACAGGTTGGTCAAAATTACACACATAGCCCCACCCCTCCCCCCCCCCACTAATTGATTCTCCTGACGCAAATCCAGGTATTGTTTACATGGGCGTCAATCGGTGGGGGACACGCCACCCCCACTTTTCAAAGTAGGGGGACATCATATCGATTGCCTCCTCCCCCACTTTTCACCAATCTTCTATAATTAAAACCCCACTTTAAAAAGTGTATGGAAAGAATAACAATTGCACATGACTCATGAATTTTGCCTGTTCACTTTTCCAAGTGCGGTACCAAAACTGAGTAAAAACGCAATTGTTTATACATTTCGTAACCATCTCAGAAACACTTAGATCGATTTCATGGGTGCAGCGGTTATCAGAAGCTAAATTTATTGTGAAAACAATGTACTTAACGTTGTTAAAATTGGAAGCGTGTATACTTATTAGGCCAATGTTTTTACAAACTCAAAAGTGCACAATTTCTACTATAAACGATTTATTCCTTTTGTATATTACGGTAATATGACCCGTACGCATATACTAGTGTTAAATATTATATACATACATAGGAATACTGTTTTTCCTAATTTCTCCAAAAAAAAAAAATCTAGTTAGTCAACTGAATTTTTTATAGCCATTATTAAACAATAATTATACAGCCTTTGACACGGACGTCTATCTATTTCGATTTAATGATACCAAAATTTTACAAACTCAAGTGTTACGTTGACGCAATCTCGCAATGACGTCATAATAATCAGTTGCGAATTCAAGTGCGGCCGAGTTAACCCTAAATTTTTCAAAATTATTATTTTAAAATGGAAAAAACAAAAGCAAAATTATAATTAAAATTTAGGTCTGAGAGTGCCATTTCCGGCAATCTAGAGGTGTCACAATCATAAAATTTCTTTCTACAGCCCCAACCATGCATGGTGGGGCTCAGGTGATCTAATGTACTCATTATAAATATTTCATCCGTGTCCAGGATATCTTAATGGCATATTTATAGTGAGTACATTTTACATCGTAAGTACGCTATATTCTTATTCAATTAAGAGACGAAATGGCTTACACAAAATACTTCAATAACCAT